GTGCCTTTAGAAGGTGGTTAGAGAATCAAGCACAGAGATGTGAAGGGGATGAAGGTGGTTTATCTGCTGAGCTAAGAAGGAAAGAGAGGAGTCAATGAATATTTGGTAAGAACTCGTAATTGCCAGGCTCTGTTCTCAGTGTGATGAACAAAACAGACAAAATGCTTGTTCTCCTGGAGTTTATACCCTAGGGAAACCAGAAAGTGAGCAGAGGCATATATGATTTATCAGCTGTTCATAAATGGTATGAAGAGTGAAGCAAGGTAAGGAGAGTTGGCGAGACACAGAGGTGTGTGCCATTAAGGATACAGCTGCTCTGCTCCTAAGGCTGATTTTGAGTAAAGATGGGAGGACAGTGAGGAGTGGGCCACATGGGTGTTGGCAGACGCGCTGTTCTAGAGAGGCCAGCAAGTGCAAAGGCCCTCTGTGGGAGCTGTTTCCCGAGTTCTAGGAAAAACCAGGATGCCAGCTGCTGGAAGTGGACCAAGCAAGGGCAGGAGTTGGGGGAAACATGGAAACCACGCCCCGAGAAGCCCTGAAGGGCTGTCTGGACTTTACACTGAATAAGATGGGAAGCAGTGGAAAGTTCTGCGTGGAGGTCAGAGCAGCTTTTTTTTTTTAAAGATAACTTTGGCTTCTGTGTAGAGAACAAGTCAAGGGCAGGAGTGAGGAGACTGTTCAGGAGCCGCTCCAGGGATTAAGGGGAGAGCTGATGGAGGCTGTGGCAGAAACAGGGAGAGGCGACCCGATTCCAGGAATATGGCAAAGGTAGTGCTGCAGGATTTGCTGGTGGAGTAGGTGTGAGCCTGAGAGACAGGAAGATTCCAGGATGAGGAAAAAATATTGGAAAAATTGGAGAAGGAAGATGCATTAAAAGTAACAGTAATTGTTCACCTTTTCTGAGTGTTCACTAAGCATCCAGCATCAAAGGAAGTTCACCATCTATATTACATCCTTTAATCCCCCCCACAACCCCAACTTACAAGCATAGAACTGAGGCTAGAGAGGGTAGGCAACTTGCCGTTCATGGAGCCAGTGGTGGGTCAGAGACTGGGCCCCATGCAGTCTGGCTGCAAAGCACACGCCCTAAGTCCTCCTCGCCGTCCAACTTTTATTTTCTCTGAGAAGTGAGCGGTTACCCTGAGTTGGGGGAACGGAGGGTAGGGACACAGAGCCAAAATTGGAGGTTCAAAAAGAATGTTGAATAATTAACTGAAAAATATGCATCAAAGATTTAAATAGATAAAAGACGAACGCCGACAGTGCTTTCTTTAGGGGAGTGGTGGTCGTGGTTTGGGGCTCACCCTCCTGTGATTATTTGTGCCACATCTAGACGAAGAAAATGACCGAGCTGCCATCATTCTGGGTCTTTTCAAAAGTGATGTCCTTCCCTGAGGGGTCCCTGTGCCCAAGGGCTCCCTGCAGCTGCCACAACTGGTGTGGGCCTGACTTCCAGCACCCTGTCCTGTGAGAGAAGCACCCCTCCATCTTTTTAGCATAAACAGACCTGAAATCGGGTGTATCTGCAAGATGGAAGTTGAGTCATGACATATTCATTAAGCCTGGCAAGTGGGTTTGACACTCAGAGGAACCCCAAATTAATTCAAGGCACAGTTCTTGCTGTTAAGGAGTTTGCAGTGTTAGTCTGGCTGGTGGACCCCCTCAACATCCATTAGAATGGAGGGACCAAGTCTCCACTTCGGACTCACCATGCTACATAGGGTGACAGCAGGGAGACTAAAAGTGCCTCCGGGCCTGGGGAAGGCACGGGCCATCGCAGTCCCTCAGCTCACGTGCATTAACGCTGCCAGCAGCCTGGCGGCAGGGTGAGGGTGGCTGTTTGTGCATAAACACTGTCATTTCACGGGACTGCTATTTCATCTTTGAACCTTGGCTTCAAAGGAACACTGACCTTATTCCTGTTGCCTGCCTTTCTTTGAAGCGTATGGCTTTGCCTTGCAGATGAAAGTGAAGACATTCATCAAGGAACAGATCCAGCCAACAGCTCCCTAAACTCAGCCCAAAACAAAGCCTCGGAAGGCTCCAATCACAGCTGCAGGGGAGAGGGTGGAAGCTGAAGGCTGGGGTGAGGCTCTGTCGCAGGTCCCCTAAGGCAGCTCTGGCTTGATATACTGTGCCCCTTTGAGCTCTGGGCAACTTTGCCCTGAGAGTTGGTCTGTCTCTGTAGAAAGGGGTGAGTCAATGCAAAGTTTCCCACCAGTCATTTTTATCTTATTTAAAGCAGGCATTGTCGTCAGTGCGGCTGGCGTGGTCACTCACTGTGTGCCTTTGATGCTTCTGTCAGTTTCTTTCCTACCACTTTCTTTTGTCCATTCCTTTGAAAAGAAACTGCCCAATCTTTCTCCCTGATTCTCCTATCTTAACCCTAAGTCTGTATGCACATAACTTCCCCTGCTGTTTATTTATTTCTTTTCTCTCTCAAGATGGCAAGAAGAATGAAGAGAGAAACTTTAATGGGAAGTTAAAAATAATAACCAAACAATTCTTTAGTTATCAGGCTAAGAGCGAGAACCAAGGGAAGTATCGCCCACCATGGAGGAAGGAAAACTGATGATAGACAGCTATCAACGGACCTGTGATCACATCTTTAAATGTAATTTTTCTGTGGATCTTTTCTGATCAGATAAACAGAGTGAGTTGTCTGTGATCAAGTGGTAAAGCAGCACAGAGGCTGGAAGGAAATGATTGTCTAACTGGGTACATGTTAATCAACTGATTCTGATTACATACACCCTACAGGGCTTAAGAACTTAGTGATCCGTATTGAGACATAGACAATTTCCAGAGTTACTTTTTTTTCTAGTTATTCATCTTTAAAATAAGACCAATGGATAATTTGGGTCATTTTAGGACAATATATCTAGCTTGCATTTTAGCTTAAGTCTCAGATCACTGTTTTCCATTAAGAAATGCACAAGATTGAGAAGATCATTAAGATGACCTTGTGAGAAGCCAGTGGTTCCAGACCAGTTTTTTCACACAACCTGACAGCTCCTGTGGGAATGGAGACAGCTCTATTTTTAGCTTCAGTTTTGAAAGTTTGAATGCTATCTGCTTATTCTTATCTATATCCATGTCCCTTACCTTACTACCTCCACTCCCTGAAATTTGGGTGGGCCTTGTGCCTGGCTTTGACAATGGATTGTAAGCAAGGTGGTGAGTGTCACTTCCAGGCTGATGCTTTCTCATCGTGGGGGCCACGTGGAGAGATGGCCAAGCCTCAAGCTAGCAGCAGCTTGAGTCACCTCCCACGGAGGGGCAGTGTGCAGAGAGGGGTCCACTTTGCATTAGATCTGGTGCGAGCAAGAGGTAAACCCTGGTTCAGTTAAGCCACTGAGATTGTCAAGGTTTATTTGTTACACTGGCCTAATTTCACTCATCCTCCCTGATCCAGGAGCTTGAAGGAAATCTAGTCTTACCTCACTTCCAACAGAGGAATCCTTCCTACAGCATTCCTGAGACACAGCCCAAATACTTCTTGGGAATAAGACCAAGTAATGTAGCAGGCCATTATATAATGCTTACGATATATAACATTGTTTTCAGTCAAAATGTAAAGTATTTTATATGTCTTAATTCACCTAAGCCTCACAAAAACCTTAACTCTTCGATATTCTCTTCTTATTTTACAGCTGGAGGAACTGAAGCACAGAGAAATAAACTTGCTCGGGGTTGAACAGATAAGTTAAGTCACGTGCCTAAGGCCACACAGCAAGTCAAGTAGTCTCCCAGGGGTCAAGTCCAGGCAGCTGCTCTCCGTTTGCGCCTGTAACCACTGCACCATGCAGCCTCCCTGAACTGGGTTCTGATTGCCTTTTCTCACAGACTATTCAGTAAGACACAGAATCATAGATCCCAAAAGACGAGGCTGGAAAGGAACTCAGAGCTCAATCAATTGTTTCATTTCACATGGAGGAACAAAATCACCCTGAAAGCCATTTTCTTGCTTTAGAAAGAAAAGTTTCTCCTTTTTTTTTCAACCCAGTGACCTGGGGAGCACTGTGGCTCCAGAAAAGGGCTTTCAGGAACCATCAGTTTGGAGGAAGGTGGAGATACAACTTCATCCAGACCAGCCCTGTACTAATCCATTTTATACAGCAGGCTTCTGTGAATAAGGCCTTCTGCTGCTTTAATTAAATTGAAAAATGATGGGTCGTCCTTACTTCTGCTCAAATAGCAGACTTGGAAGTCTGCACTAAACAAGGCAGAGCTTCTCATCAGCTGGGAGTTCGCAGAACATGGCTTTTACAGCCCAGCAGGCAGGTCTGGGGCTGGGATGACTTGTTGCTTCCACAAATGCATTCACTAGATTGCCTTTTCATCACTATTCATCACTATAGTAGGATATAAACTGTAGGATAGAAAGAGAGTTCCCAGAGCCTTTGATGAAACAATTTTTCAAATAAAAGTTTAAGCTCATTTGAGTTGAAAAAAGTAGCCACCTTGGCTGTGGGGACCCAACATCAGAGAAATGGCTGGGAAGTTACCATTGTGAGTGTTCTGTCCATGTGTCCTTAAGTGGGCTGCAGTGGAATTCTTCTTTCCCATCCCTGACTGGTAATGAATGATGAATGAATGAATAGATAGATGGGTGAGTGGATGAAAAAAAATGTATATTGAACTGATTAGTTTGTTCTCGGGGAAACACAATTTACAGTCTCAACCAAGCACACCAAGGTTTGCTCCATTTTAACACAACTAAACAAGATTATCCACATTTGCTGGTCATGTTAAGTGGTGAATTAGAAAGCTTTCTTTGCTTTCAAAACCCCCCTCTTTGTGCTGAGAGCAGTTCTAGTACATTTCTTCTCCCTCTACTATTATGTATTATGTACTGTTGATGTACAAATGGCGTGGTTTACAAATTGGTTATGTCAAGAAAAAGGTGTATATTTGACAAGGGGGGAGGTTGATGGAGCAGAAGAGAGACAGGAAAAGGTCTAGGAAAGGAGTTCAGGGGAGGTGTGCTCACTGCAGACCCTCTTACCTTGCGTGGTCCCATCCAGTCCCATGATGAATTTCACTGATCTGATGATTTGCTCTGCTATCGGGGGGCTCATGGATGTAGCATATGCAGTGCTGTGCAAGTAAACCCGTAAATAATCCACAAGGTCCCTTAATAAAGGAGGGAAATCTAAAAAGAAGGCAAATGATTCTCCATGTTGGTGGTGAGAATCACATCTAGTCCTGTCTCCATCCATCATAGCACAAGGTATTTAAGTCCTGAATATGATGTGCTTTCCAATGGGCATCACCAAACTTTTGTTTTCTCGATCCCTTCTTCTTAGTCTCTCCCTTAAAAGCCTAGAAGATCTACAAAAATGGGATGCTGCAAATTTGGAGTTGAGGTCTGTAAGGCAAAACCAGATGTGTAAAGGAAAGATGGCTTCCTCAACATTTGTTTGAGTACCTGGCCTATAGGAACACTAGGTTAGTACTCAGGAGTGTCCAGAGAATACAGGTTGTGATTTTTGCCCTGAGCGTGTTACAGTTGATTGTGCCCATAATGGCAGGAAAAGTAGCAAGACATGCAAACTCGTCTATGCAGGGAGGCTAAGAGACTGCAGGGGATAGAGACAGGTTATGGCCAGCGGGAGTAGATAAGGGAGGCTCCAGTGAGAACCTGGAGTGAAGTCTTGAGGAAAGAAGGCAGATAAAGATAAAAAGAAACTTCCAGGGGAGGGGAGTGGCAGAAGGGAGAGGTGAGAAGTTAAACCAGAGTGGAGGTGAGGACCAGATGAACTCTGGTTGTGCCTGGGCAGGAGGGAGCTACTGGAATTTTCTTGCAACACTATTTGGAGTTCTGACCCCCTGCAGGACTCTGCTCTGTGCTGTAGTGGGCATGATTCTCCACCTGCAGGCTTGGGCGCTGAGGCCAAACATAAGGTCCCAGGTAACCCCTCTAGGAGCCCAAAGAAGCTCCGATAACCTAATTCTCCGTAGTGGAGTGGAGGAAGGGTCTCAGACCTGACATCTGGAGGCCCTTGGCCCTGGCTGGGCAGACCATCTATCAGGGCACCTGCACTGCCCCACAGCCTGGGAGGCTCGGGCTGTCCTGCAGGAAAGCTAGCGGCCCATGATGGCTCTGAGTTAGCAGTAGGGTCTGCAAAGGATCAGCCACCTTCTCTTCCAGGAAAACGAGGCAGCTGAGAATCCCACTTAAATGTCTTCTCTGATCATCCCCTTGAAGATGAACTTGGGGGAGCTCTGCTTTCACCCCCTTTCACCGGCCACGTTCACTTCTTCCTCTGCCCCTGGGACTGTGCCCGCCTTCACTTTTCTCTCTCTGAGGGTGTGGGTGTCATGGTTGTTACCCAAGCATTTTTTTTTTAATTTTTAAATTTTTTAAAATTGAAGTGTAGTCAGTTTATAATGTTGCCTTAATTTCTGGTGTACAGCATAGTGATTCAGATATATATATATATATATATATATATATATACACACATATACATTCCTTTTCATATTCTTTCTCATCTTTATAGGCAATTGCAAGTTATTGCATATAGTTCCCTGTGTGCTACACAGTAGGACCTTCCTGTTTCTCTATTTTATATATAGTAATTAGTACCTGCAAATCCCAAACTCCCAATTTTTCCCTCCACCCATTCCTTCCCCACCCTAGTTACCCAAACATTTTAAATGTTCATAATTCATCTTTGTATGAACTAGTAACAGAAGTTATTAGCTCAGTAAGTAGAGAGTACCTAAGGTTAGCAGGAATTTTACTGAACATTCATAGTAACGTGAGTGGCCTGCATCGCGGGTGGTTGGTGATGTGATGCTGCTACCTGGACCCCCGGGGGGACCTGGCAGCTTTGCTCTGTCGCCCCCTCCTCCAACAAGTCCCTCATCCTAAACCCCCTCCTCCACGCTCTTTCCTCCCCGACTTCCTTTCTCCTTCATTTCACACTCTTCATGCCTTGTTTTGTTTCTACCTTTCCTTCCCCATTCTGCCTACTCTGATTCCCTCTTCACTTCCTTTCATTTTAAATTCTCCATTTAAGTCTTTCTTCTCTCCTTTCATAAGTATTTCCTCCCTCCCTCCCTCCCTTCCTTCCTTTGTTCCCCCTCTCTCTTCTCTCCCTTTCCCTTCACCTCATTCCTTCCATCTTTCCTTCCAGCAAGTTGGTACAAGGCCTTGCTCTGGGCTCTGTTCTGGATGCAGGGGTCCCAGAAGAGGAGGGCAGAAAGCCTGGTCCCTGGCAGCCCTCCTCTTGATTAAATCAGGGTTAAATTTCTGTCCGTTCTTTCATTTAGCGAATCTCATAAAAACGGTTGGGTGTGTTTCACCATATCTGACAAGGACGTGCACGATCTTGGCCTGACCTGAGGCCCAGGTCACGTGGTACCCAGGGAGTCCACTTTGGAGGATGGGGGGCAGTGGGGAGGGGTTGGGGAGAGCGAGGTGGTCATTTTCCAGAGTGGCTGCAGCCAGGCAGCCCTTCAGACTCCTCTGTGAGCAGCAGCAGGGTTTTCTTTCTCTGTTGAGAGCAGGTGCCTCCCCACAGGATGCCAGGAATGTCAATGAGGAGGGAGTGGGTGGGACACAGAAAACAGGATGATGGGGGCTCATGTAGACCTGAGTCAGAAAAGGGCTGTTTTGAGGAGCTGATCTGAACTTGAAGGATGGGGAGATTGTTGCAGAGGAGGACAGGGGCAGGGACACATGCTAAAATTAGGAATGAAGTTGATGCCTTAATCAGCAAAGGATGGAGGAGGCAAATGGGGGTAGAGGGAGAAACTACTGCCTCCAAGAAAGGTAATGAGGGCTTGTTCCCTTGAGGGCAGATCTGACAGCAAAGTTATGAGACAGGCTCTGGAGCCTGGATCACGTGGGTTCAAATCCTCGCTCTGCCACTTACTGATATGTGACTGTGAGCAAGTTACTAAACCTCTCTGTGCCTTACCTGTCTTCTCTGAAAAATGAGATAATGGTAACATTTATCTCAGGGACATTATGAAGATTAAATAAGTTTATACCGATACGGTGCTTAGAAAAGCAGCAGGTACGTAGTGAAGACCTGACGCTGTTGGCAACGATTGTTAATGGATTGCCAACTCAGAGATTCTCAAAACTGGAGCACAGAGTGGGAGGAGGGGACCAAAAACTAAAAACTTGTTGGAATGTCTTTATTCCAGCTCCTTCATTTTGCAGAGGGTGATGCTGTAGCTTATGTAACTGCACTTGGGGAGCCTTAGAGATCAAAGCAAAGATTTTTCAGCCCAGAACTTCCTCCATCCTTATTGGGCAGTAGCAGTAGAAGTGAAAGGAAAGGAAAAGAGAGGCATTTTAAAGAAAGGACAGCACAAACCTGATGACAGATTGTATGACTCTGCAGAGATAGGAGAGCTGATATATTCACTGACAGGCCCAGAGCTGATATTCATTGGCTGCTTGAGGCTTCACTTGAAGAACTTTACATGTATTAACTCATTTTAGCTTCACAGTAACACTATGATGTAGGCTCTATTTTTTATCTCCATTTTATAGGTGGGATCACTGAGTCACAGAACAGCTTAGAAAATTATCTGACCAAAATGTGGTTGGATAATAAGGATCTAGACTCAGAGAGTCTGGCTATAGATCAACCCTTCCCACCCCACCTTGGCACCACAGTATATGACTTCTTCAGACCAGAGGAGCTGGCTTGGCTTGAGTGAGGGAAGACTCGGAAAGCAGAGATCACCTTCACTGCTACTTACCCCTGTGGTGTTTCCCTAATCCACAGACTGTGCCTGTGGAGGAGGAGGGGAAGGGGAGCATTCTTAATATACTCAACTATTCATAGTCGAACCACAGAATGAACTGCATCAGTCTTAAAAGTTTTCACATGTATTAACTTTTACTTCAGAAAAGAGACTGGAACCTCCTTGAGAGCAAGGAGCAGAGTTAGACACTTTATTACACCCTCACTTAAACCCATAGAGATGGGCACTTAGTGGGGGTCTGGTAAATATTGATGGTCTAACAGAAAGCAGAGGGGTTTAGGGACTGAGGAAGGATAGTGAGGGTCCCTGAATTATAGAGGAGGCACAAAGCTGCATTCTTAGGAACAGGTGTAGCTATTGTGGGCAAGAGGGTCTTGTCACAGAAAGAATTCAGAGACAAGACACAGAGGTTAAGAAAGTAAAGATTTATTAAGAGATGGATAGTACACTTTCGAGGGGAGAGTGGGCAGGCTCAGTTGAGCAGCTGCCCTGAGTTTCCTTGGCAAGCTCGGTTATATGGGTGCAAAAGTGAACGGGCAGAATAGTCATTGGCAGGGAGGGCTTTGGGGTTGTCTTTCCTGATCTTCATCCCAGCTCCACCTCCCCAGGTGGGGAGGAGGGATTTTTTTGTCTTTATTTAGTCTTGATTGGGAAGTTGGATGAGGTCATAATGAACAAAAGGTTACATTTGGGTGGGGCTCTCATAAGCAAAATGGTTACATATGGATGGAGGTCATAATGATCAAAAGGTTACATTCGGATGGTGAGGATTCCTGTCCTGTCCCACCCTTCTGCCTCCAGGATGCTTATCAACCCAGAAGGTATGGCTTTTTATCAGTCCAGAGGACTCCATTTTTCTTAGTCTGTCCAAGGACCCCTGTTGTTTACAGGACGTACGGTTTTCTACCATTTGCCCATGCCCCCCTTTCTCTGCTCGTATCTAGCTACCTGCCTGCTCTAACATAGCAATATTCTCCTAGTGCAGGGGGATCACTGACAAAGATCAAAGAAGCAAAACAAAGCTGCTTTTTATCCCTAAAGGGCTCCTTATGTCCCCAGCCCCCAGTTTTCCTTTGCAAATCAAGGAATTTCACAAAGCCAAGGTTACGTGTATCCTTAGTTTGAATTAGTACCTCATCAACTCAGTATCACTTCCTTTTGACACTGAGACTGTGAGACAGGATGGAAGGGAGTAGAGCCATTCAATGAATGCTACATCAATTAACATCAAAATGGTGAAAGATTCAAC